TTTCAGGGGGCGGGGAGGTGGGTTTATACCTTTCCCGAGGATATTTGCACGTAAGTGAATACAACGAGCCCAGCAGAAATTGGAACGCGGCTCTCGGATTTCCAATTCTGAGACGTTATATAATACACCAGCCGCACATCCATGTTGACAGCAACTGGTATTTCTAAGCGGTCAACCATTTAAGTATTGACCAGGCTTAACGTTGCTTAACTTGAATACGAGAACCGGTCTCCTTTATTCTATACTTTGTTCGAATTTATTCTCTATCTTTCGTGGTTTCTCTATGCATACACATAAACTATCTCTCTTTTTACACACACACACACACACATATATATATATATATATATATATATATATATATATATATATATATATATATATATATATATATATATATATATATATTAGAACGCAGAGAAGATAAATTAGCGACCACCAAAACGAAACGACGGGATACATTACCTGACCAATCCAATGAAACCTGAGAAATTACGGAAATTGTAAAGAAAAAAATTGTAATTTATATACACATTTATTTATTTTGTTACATCTCTCTCTCTCTCCTCTCTCTCTCTCTCTCTCTCTCTCTATATATATATATATATATATATATATATATATATATATACGTTACGCAGGAATGATACTCCACGAACCTTTGTGAGTGAGTCTCTCAAATGTACGCATTCACCTTTTACCAGAATGATTTACGTTCATCCAGGATTAAGAAACGCTCGACAGCCCGCAGAAATTATTCAACTGATCCCCGAATATATTCCGTGTTTCAATTAGAAGCGCTTTGAATGTCGGGAAATACTCGCATATGTCATTTTTGTTGATTGATATGAGATATCCCGACGACCTATCTTTGCCATCTTCTCTGCTATGTACATATAATCTTGTACATAAACCCATATTTCAAAGAATGCACTTACTGGAGTGAAAAGCTTTAGGTTATGCGCAACTGAACATTTGAAAGGTTAGTTGACTGAGAAAGAATGACAAAAGTCGTTTTATTAAACAAAGACCTTTTTCTTTTATTCGTTATTAATACCGGTAAAATTCTACTATTCAGATGTTCAAATTTAAAAGAAAAATTGTAATGGGGTCAACAAATTCTATGTCATACAATCTTTTGATAATGGTAACAATAAGATAAACTGTTTCAATACGGGAAAACTTTTATTGGCCGAACAGTCAGTAATACACTTAATACATGAAAAAAAAATAATTTTCTTAAAAATATTGTTTGCCATGAAGTCTATAAAATAGATTTAAATTAAAAAAAAAAAAATTAAACCGTAAGTAGGTTTTTTTTTTCCAAAGTATTTTTCCAAATGAATCAGCTTATTCAAATTTCATCGATTGATTTACGAAATTGAATGAAACTTAGAGTTTGTAAGTCTCACAACTATGGGTTGAATAGTGGACAAACTGGGTCTGTAGCTTGGTTTGCAAGGATTCTGCCGCAAAAATAAACGGCTGTTTACTATTTCGCAATTCTTTGTATACCATTGCCTTCAGAAGGTAAGCGATGATGATTTTTTTGACAATCTTTCACTATCTTTATAGAACTTAATACTAAATACTGTTTAGGATTTCAACACACGTCAGCGTGTTGCAAATAAGTCTAGTAAATAAAAATCCTTTACTTTAGAAAATGACATACTTCGTAGTAGCTCCTGGGCTGCCTTCTTAGACTTGTGCTTGTGGGTTCTTTCATTTGGTCACCACTGCCTAGGAAGGTGCTGTCTACGTTGGTATTGCCCGAAAAGTTCTTAAGAAACAACAACACTCTACTCTTGCATGCTGTCACTCAGTATCATTGAATAGGCCAAATGTGCCAAATTGGAAGCATTACCATGGTTCATGTGAAAGCCTTGACAGTATTCTACAATATTAATTCTTCCATCAGCTATAATAAGAGCACCAGTCTGTTTGTCCTTATCCTCATTCACAGCGGCAGCTGGCCTGTCACTAAGATCAGTTTCTCTTTTCGCTCCTAGCTTACCATTAACTACACTGATCTTTCTGTGCTAACAACACAGTGTATTCTTTCTGTAAACATTCAGTAACGACGTGAAAAAGTTTACCCTTTCTAAAAATAAACATTTCCTAACAGTTCTTGCGTTTCGTGTATGTCTAGAAGGGACGCACATAAAACTTTTACCTTCTAAGTTTGGGCCTCAAGTTCTACTATCACCTGAGGTAAAAAGAAATAAGAAACGTAAATGGACAAGGTATGAATATAAAGAAGAGATGTATTGTTACAACTTTATACTAAAGTTGCAGCCATAGCCAGCTTGTCGATCAGAAAAAGCGTTCAATTAGAATGGAGCAAAAACAGCATCATGATTAGATGTTTAGAGTCTATCTTCTGCAATTACATTAAAGTACTCTCATTAAAAAATATTTTGAATTAATGCAGTTACTTATGTAACAGAAGTAGTCTGTATTTATTCAATCGAAGTTTTCCGAGGACATAAAGGGGCAACATGAAGACCCACTTCAGACCACAATTATTTTGGAGTTTTTGAAATTCAATTTATCAGTGTGCTATCAGGGATATAAAAGAGGATACATTTATAAAGCATTTGTTAAGTTTGATGAAATTTGGTTGAAAGATCAAGGAAAAATAAAAAAAGAAACTAACAAAAATCGCCATTTTTCGCTATTTACGCGCGTATTCCCATATTGGTGGGCTAATTATCAACTTAAATATCTGTTGAAAATTCAACTTATTGTTGGCTACAATTGAGTGAAGTTTGTATTAGATTACTTGAAAATTGTGGGAGTTTTTTAGTTTAAAATTTGTGTTGAAATCGATTTTTCGTTCTTTTGCAGTTTTTCGCTAAACTCAGTGGCATAGAAATAAAAATGAGGTATCTTTGAGCTTGTCTTGATCCAAGTAACCTACATACCAAGCTTAACGAAATCGGAGGAAAACAGTTGAATTTATCGATTTTTTGATCGGCTTTATCGATTATTGATTTTTAAAAAAATTATCGATGTTTTACGCTTGAAACCTGTCTCTTACACTGTACAGTGTATGTGCTAAGTTTGGTCAAAATCGGTTGGATGGCTCTCGAATGAAAAGATATCACGCAGACGGGGAGATAGGCAAACGGACATCCTCTGTTTTATGTAGAGAGATAACCTTGCGAAAAACCATACTAAAGTATGTTTTTTCGCAAGGTTATCTCTCTAACAAATGTGGCGTGAAAGAAATGTTCCTATTATGTCTGGAGTTTTAGTTCCGATAAAGAAACGATCACTACCGTGCCAGAAGGTTTTTTTCTCGTCAGAGTCCATCTTGCACATTTACAAATCTACCATTCTTTCGTGCATTAAATACTGTTGATATATCTGGTCTAGAGCTCCTGCTGTTTATTTCGTGGTTATTGACAAATTCCAAAGAAGGATCTGCAATCTAATTGATGCTAACGTGCTACTAGATTGGCATCTACGACCCACCATATTACTGTTGAAACAGTTAAATGTAATCGTCACTTCTGCTCCAACAGTTTCTTTTCTCGCACTTCCCGCCTGCGGAAATCCCTTCAGTTAATTGCTTCACTGAAAACTACAATCTTCAAAAATTTAAATGCAACGTCAATCGCTATATTCTGTCTTCTTGAACCCCGTTCATCTTTTATCCTTTTCGCAATCCCTCCTTTCTTATGCCTCATTTTTTCCTCTCACTTTCACTCTCTGTAACCCCCTGCGTACTAGTGCCATTCCCACCTTGCTTGGGATGAAATGATTTTAAAAAAACAAACCCAAAACTCAAGAACAAATCAACAAAACACCTGATGCCCCATCTCTCCAGCAAATCCCCAAAATGGTTCTAATTATTAGAGGGCATATCCTGCGAAAAACTGTCAATTCGAGTTTTTGTTGTTGTTCTTGCTTTCTTTTGTTTAATTAAGTGTAAAGAACAAAAAAAAAAAAAAAAAAAAAAATCAGATTATTCGCTTCCCATTGCTCAAAGTGATTATAAAACAAATGCAGGTAAAAAAAAAGTGAGAATAATAATTATTATAATAATAATTAATTGGAAATTATTAAATCATTTCACACAATGAAAGCATGATGAGAAAAGTGTTAAAACGCTGAATTTTAGGACATCCTTCTGTCATTTCAACAATATATATATATATATATATATATATATATATATATATATATATATATATATATATGTGTGTGTGTGTGTGTGAAAATATATAGAAAATAGGAAGGAACTGGTTAGGTAAATAATCCAAAGTCCCTTAGTATTTTAGTTATTATTTTTAAAAAATAGTGCTCGATACAAAAGTAGAGCATAAATAAAAAAATTTTCGCTTGAAGATGGAACGGAGCCCATTTTAATTTAAACTCAATTTAATTTAAAGGATTATATTGAAGTTTTCGGCTCTTGTTTTGAAACATGAGACCTCTTATGTAGCGATTTGGAATCATATTTTTAAATAAATAATTATATATATATATATATTCATGAATCATTCATACAATAAAACAAATAGAGAGGTTAAAGATTTAAATGGCGAGAATACATCTTTGCAAACAATATCAAAAAGATACACCAACCCCGAATCTGTATATGAATGATATGATCCCTGTTTATAAATTCCAAAATAATAACACATTTCTCATAGCATTTTTTCGGATTACAACTCTATTTTCGTTGTCCTCTTATTACCGAGAAGTAAAAACAAGAACAAATCTATTTTCATACCTGAGGATGTCTGTATGAACAGACGAAAGATTGTAAAAAATTAAAAAGACCTTATGCAACTGGAATTTATAAACAGGGATCATACATACATACATACATAACATACATGCATATATATATATATATATATATATATATATATATATATATATATATTTCCTAATGGTATTTGCGCGTTATATGAATATAACAAACCCTACTGGAATTGGAACTCCGTTTTCCGATTAACAATTCCGAGCCGTTATCCAACATCTCCAAG